AATGGCTGACCGTACCCAGACTGTTGATAAGAAGGAAGGTAATAATAAGGGTAATATGGAACTCCCACTGGATATGGCTGTTGAGGATTTTGTCCTTGTTGATTTGTAGATTGTTGTTGTGTGCTAGCTTGTTGAGTGGAGCTTTGACTCGAGTTGGTAGTTGTATCAGGTGTGTATTTGTTATTTTCTCGATTCTGATATCCCGCAGACGTTACTGGCGATGCTTGACCATATGAAGGATCAGCGTAGTATCCCTGTAAATTTATATTAAAAAAAAAATAATCTCATCAATAAAAATAAGTACAATAAGATTGGTTAGAAAGATGTAATCATGTAAGTGAGCACCATTACGCGTTGAGCATCTGGTCCGTATAATGCACCGTAATCTGGTAATGATTGCATTGGTCCAATACCGAATCCTGATAGTTGATTAGGAGGTTGATTATGCAAATAAGAACCATATGGTGCATTTAGTGGTTCAGCTGCTAGTCCTAGGTGATGTTGTTGATTTAAGTAGGCGGCGGAAGTTGGTTGATCTTGTTGCTGCTTAAAATATGAGGGATTGAAATTCTGTGGTGTAGGTGTCGGAACGGTAGTCAATGGTGTAGCAGGTGGAGCGCTACTTCCGGATGACTGTAAAGCGTTACTTTGTGTTGATGAAGGAGCTATCGGCCTATTTATGGAATTCGATTGCGGAAGAGAGGATGATGTCTGAGCTACCTGCGCTTGTTGCTGTTGCTGTTGCTGCTGTTGTTGTAGTTGTTGCTGAAATTGTTGTTGCGCTGCTTGCTGCAATTGCTGTTGTTGTGTTGTAACTTGTTGCATTTGTTGCGTCGTTTGTGGTTGCACGGTTTGTTGCTGAGATGACGTTTGTTGTGATTGTTGTTGAACAGGCGCGGCCTGTGGTTGTTGATGTTGTGGTGTTTCATCGATATTCTGAGTCGGTGGTGACACCGGTGTTTCTATCTCCACGGTCTCTTCGTTAACATTAGAAATGCTTAAACTACCAAACTGCACACCAACCCTTTCCAAACCAGCTCCAGTGCTTGGCATTATCACGGCAGCATCTTGTTTCAATCGACGTGAAGGAGTTCCCGTCTTGGACTTATAGAGAAGCCCAGGTGGTGATATTTCTTTGGTACGCGGTGAAGCGTTAACAACTGGTGAAGAAACCACTGGAGTTGTTGACGACGGTTCCGGTGATGG